AGTGCCAGTAGCAGCACAGGGACTTGAGGCGAAAAAAAAGTGTTATATATATAAATAGGGGTATATATATATTATATATATAAATATATTTATATATATAACACTTTTTTTTTCGCCTCAAGTCCCTGTGAGTAGCAGGGCGTAGCCTTGGCACAAGCTCAGTCTGAACTCATGTGTTTCACAGAACTGGTGTGTTTGCCGGTAAACAGATTATATGCAAGCAAATGCAAATGCATAGCAACTTTCTTGAAGTACTAGAAAATTAATTAGTAAAGTGTAGCGTGCATAGATACTATCTAAGATAGACGGAGATATAATTAATTATATTAAAGGAAGACAACAAAACTGCCATGCTTACCACGGATGTTGTTTACGCGCAGTGATTTTTGGGACACGTCTGCCGGTCAGCTGCTATCGACTTCCGTTAGTGGCGCTAGTGTTCTCGCGGATAAAGGTTTCGTTGGTGATGGAGTGTACTGTATCGTTTAGTTTTAAATGTCTTTTACTCTCTAAATTAAACGTAACGTGATGAATTTGAACATTTTTTCTTCGTCGCTGACTGACGTCAGATGGACTACGGATCTACGAATGAGATAAGTTATTGAATTTCACGCTGCTGTATCGGGTAATGGCTAATGCCTCACATTCACAACTGCTGTTGTGAAATGTTCCCGGCTTTTGCTGACTGAAGTGAAGAACACGGATTTTGCGATTTTGATTCGATTCCCTTCAACCCTTGATTCTCACAATCCGGTAAACATGATGATGCATAGAGATAAACTGCTAAAGATGGTGAGTGTTAGAAAGCAGGCGGCTAGGGTGCGTGTAGGCCAGGTAAAGCACCTGTCCGGGGAAACCAACCAAATCAATCAAACTAGAGATCCGACAACGAATGCTAACCAAAACGACACCAGCCACAGCACTAAACCAGTGTCATCCTTCTACCACCACAGTGCTGTGGACATCGCAGCCTCAAAGGTTAGTCACACGCATTAACACACTATTAATAAATGCCATTATTCGCACCAACTTTTTATCATATCCTGTAAATGCAAAATACCAAGAATATGTAACCCAGCAGAGTAGCGTAACTTACTCTTTTGGATTACATGTTTGCAGAGTATATAGTGAAAACTGTTCGATATGTACATAAATTGTAGCAGATTTTCTTATTAGGTCAGTTGTTGATTTTTTTTCCACAGCCATCGATGCGACTGACCCCAGCCACAATGCTTTATGCTGGCAAGAGCCCTGATAGAAGCCACCTATTGGTAAGGCAAACACATTGTTAATCACGCTGTGGTTATAACGTGTGCCCATTGACGCACCTTCTGTCAAACTCACATTAATTTTTATCCGAACAGTAATTTCATGGAATTTTAACCGCAAGACGAATATTCAGCAATAACACGAATAACAAGTTACTGGTGGTGAATCATTCTATGTATAAGCGCTGAATTCGTGATTCAGAATCATATTGTTCTGTCCTGGTATAAAATCCCTTCATGTAGATAATAATGAAACCTAGCTAATAATGTATTTTGTTTTTAATTACCAATTCGTGCAGTATAGCTTGGGTGCACCTTTGTTGTACCACCTCATTATAGAGCACTGGCTGGAATTAGCAGAGTTTCTATACGCACAATTTTAGATAAATAAGCCAGCACGATATCTCATTATAGTTTGATAATCAGTAAAATGCCAAAGAACAGATGGCTGCACTTTAATGCATGATAATTAGGAGCCGACTGCAAATTTTGCCCTCGTTATTTTAGTCATGCAGCATCTTCGAGGACTGTGATGTGTATGTGCATTTGCTCACGTGGCATAATTTGTCTAATCATAGATCCCTGTCTGAGTGTAAATTTGTGTCTGTGTTTGCTTTGCTACACGAAAATGCACCAGTGTCTGGCTCAGCTAAATTCTAAACACCCTGTAGATATGTCTCCTGGAACTCAAATCTTTTATTTGAGCTACACTGCTACCAGTTTTTGTCCTAAATTTTAAAATAAATATTTGTAGTTCTGGTATAGTTAAAATTTTCGTATCTATTTAATGAAGCTGGGAATGGTGTTTAGTCTGTATGACTCGTAGCCTGGTTTTCTGACCTTTAAGTGCTTGTCTACAACACACGTTGTGATGCGCTGAGAAGGAAAACGTTACAATTCTACAACAACAATGTTAAATTACAATTTTACAATTAGATGAAAATGTTTTGTGAGTAGCATTGTTGGATAATGCAGTTCAAGTAATAGAACCCATACATTGACAGTCAATGATTGACTAACTCAAAAGTTTCGCTATCCAGCCTGTTGGCTTTGTCAAGTGCCCCCCATTTGTGTCAGCTTTTTTTAGTTCAAAGTATCAGGGCCAGGCATATATGATTTCAAATGCTCGGGGTACATACAAAACTGTGTACATGTATTATACATGCGTACCTGTGTAACAGCTATGTGCCCTCTAGGGAATGGTTATGCAATGCTTGTGCGTGGTACATGCAACTACCCAGCTAACAAAGTTATGTTCCTTGAATGTTACGGGAATGTTTCTTTTAGGTTAGCAGAACATTATTCAGTAACGTTCTAATAACGTTGTTTAGGAAAGTTTTCCTGACATTCTGAGAACGTTTTTACCAACATTCACATAACATTGATCAACCGCCGAAAATAACATATTAACGGCAGCAACACTACGTATGCGCTGCAGGCTTATCTTAATGTCTCGAGTACGGCAGGCTGGAGGTTAATTAATAGCTAGTGAACGACATTGTTTTGTGGGAAAGCGATGCATGCGCAAATGAACTACCGTACCCGTAGCCTTGAGACATTAAGATACGGCTGCCGTCCCCGTAGCCACTGCGAACAAAAATACATTTGATACCTCCTGTGCTATAGTTTGCAACATCACAAAAACGGCAATTAGGAGTTTCGAACCCATCTGAGGACGGTTAACGTTTTCCGAACATTCCAAGAACATAACTCTCTCACCAAGTAAAACCAATAAATGCATAACAATATGGGAATGTTCTTAGAATATTTTTGGCTAATGTAACCACACTACAGTAAAAACCCACGTATAAGAACATAGATTTTAAGAACATGTTAGGCTAAAATTTCCCATTTAGACCCCTTTACATAAGAACCTGTTTTAGGCTAAGATTTTAAAGTAGGTTCTTAATTTTCCATGCAGATGAAGACTTAAAAAGAAACACAGGTAAAATAAAAAAGACGAGCTCAACAATATCGATGCAATAACAATGCCAATGCCAATGCCAAAGGCAATGCTCAACAATAACAATGCCAGCACCCTCGCATTGTTATTGAGACACAGTACTGCATTATTTACATATACAGTAAAAACCCGCATAAAAGAACACGTCGATTAAGAACACTCAGGCTGAAATGCGGTCAAAAGATTGCATATACATAAGAACACATTCAGCCTGTTCCATATAACACCTTACACATAACACTACTGTACTGGTAACACATGCATCACAGTCACTAGGCCCGCGCGTGGCGCGGGTTTCAGCTAGTACATATTAAAAGTAGAAACAATTAAGAACCTATTTAAGAACCTTTTGAGCCTAATTTTTCAGTAAGCACCATTTATATAAGAACATGTTGAGGCTAACTTGGAAAAATCTATGTTCTTATACGCGGGTTTTTACTGTAGAACCTTCAGCGAATGTTACGAGAAACATTCCAAGAACGTAACTCTCTCACCAAGTAAAACCAATGAATGCATAACGATATGGGAATGTTCTTAGAATATTTTTGGCTAATGTAACCAAACTAGAACCTCCAGCGAATGTTACGAGAATGTTCCGTGTTTACTGGGTAGGGTGTTTGTACAACTTATCAGTTACATCTAGATGCTTATCCTTATTACATTCGGGAATGTCGAAAAACAAGTCGACGGCGTGTATCTATGCTTATGCCTGTTATCATGAATATATACTAATACTCTTATATCTGTACTCGTGTAAATATATGTTCTTATGCCTAGTACCATAAATATATTTATACTCTATATCAAGAGCTAAATATACCTAGTTATCAGCTCTGGTTATTATTAGCTCATGTTTATATCTGTAGATTTGTTGATGTTAGTATATATATTAGTAGGAAGATACTTTTTTATTTTAGTCTTTGGTTTCTGTTATTATATTGCTATGTCTATTGTGGTGTGTATCGCCTTGTTTGTGTTTTGTATAATAAGGGTTGGGGCCTGTGCGTCGTTGCAGCGGAGCGCGCAGTACTTGCACAAGGAGCTGCCTGTGAGGATCGCGCATCGCATCGCGGGCTTCCGCGGCCTGCCCTTCATCGTCGGCTGCAACCCGACGATCCTGCAGGTGCACGAGATGTACATACGCGCCTTCCAGCTGCTCATTGAACACCCACGCGTGAGTACTCGCCGTGACGCGGGGGCGAGGGTGCCGGGGGGCTGGGTGGGGGTGGGGGGGGGGGGAGTGGGTGGGGGCGGGGTGGGGATGTACATACGCGCCTTCCAGCTGTTCATAGAACACCCACGCGTGAGTGTGCTTTGCTATTAAGCTAGCTATCCTTGGGGCGCTCCATTGTGCAAGAAAGCACATGAGCATGTGGCTATAAACATCTGTTTTTCACTTTTTGAATTTTTCTTAACCGGAAAACAAAACATATATACAGAAAAGAAGTTATGGGCTATCACTGGTGGAAACACAGCAGCACTTAGTTTTAAATTCGATCCCTGCACTGTGTTAACGTTTACGACGTTGTCACGCAGATCACAGACTTTCACATGGAGAGGAACTACACCGAGCTGCTGAAGAAGCTGCTGGATGATCACAGAGATGTGGTAACGATGCTCGCTGATGGCTTCAGGGAATGCCGCAAACACATACAGGTAAGAAGCTAACGAGTTCATACAGGTGAGAGGGTAACGTGTTCATACAGGTGGGGGTAACGAGCTTCTACAGGGGAGAGAGTAGAGAATTCATACAGGTGGGTGAGTAATGAGTTCATACAGGTGAGAGAGTAGAGTTCATACAGGTGAGAGAGTAGAGGGTTCATACAGGTGGGTGAGTAATGAGTTCATACAGGTGAGAGAGTAGAGTTCATACAGGTGAGAGAGTAGAGAGTTCATACAGGTGGGTGAGTAATGAGTTAATACAGGTGAGAGAGTAGAGTTCATACAGGTGAGAGAGTAGAGGGTTCATACAGGTGGGTGAGTAATGAGTTCATACAGGTGAGAGAGTAGAGGGTTCATACAGGTGGGTGAGTAATGAGTTCATACAGGTGAGAGAGTAGAGAGTTTATACAGGTGAGAAGATAATGAGCTTCTACAGGTAAAAGTATACTGAGTTTCTACAGGTGGGTAATGAGTTCATACAGGTAAGAGGGTAATGAGTTCATACAGGTGGGGCAAGTAATAAAGTTCATACAGGGATGTTTCGTACAAGGTTTGATGCTGGCCTGTTATGGTGTTCTCACGCGTTATTCATGCGTGGTTGTTGTCATCACACACAGAACGAGCAGCTCGTGCGACAGTTCCTGGACCGCACGCTGACGTCGCGTCTCGGCCTGCGCATGCTGGCTGAACATCACCTCGCCCTGCACGATGACAAGGTACGCCCCCGCCCCCTGCCCCCCGCCCACGCTAGCAGTGTGACCCCCTCCCCTAAGTACACGCTTGCAGCGCGGCGGTATTCCTAGCTCTGAGTGTCTGCATTTAGATCGCCTGTAATAACGATAGCTAGAGACACTAACCGTGCAGAATGAGCATAGTCGGCAAGGCTGGTACGCCGCAAGTTTGGGGCGATTGGGCGTGAATTCGTTTGGCGCAACTCGCGATTTAGCAGGGATAGGCTTTGTTGTTATATAACGTCCAGTAGGTAGATTGCAGTAACCTCTGCACGCCCTTCACACTTTGTGATAGGCTGCATTTTGTTGAGAGGAATTTTAACTAACGTTTGCTAACTGTGTGGGATAGATTTGCACGCGTGCGCGTGCGTGTGTGTGCGTGCGTGTGCAACACGTCATCGTGCGTGGTTCTCTAACATTGCTCTTCCACAGGCGAGCAGCACTGGCAGCCATCATGGAGGCAGGCGTTCAAATGTAGGCGGGAACGGCATTTATCTTTCTCTCGTAAACGCGCTCACGTGCGCGCCAGGCGACGAAAGCGAAAACGGACATTACGTTCGCTGTTTCTGCGTTTTCCGTTTGCGATGTTGTAATCGGGGACAAATTGCTGACATTAAACTTGTTATTTCTCACATAAACATGCATATAATCATCGTGCCTTGAGCATGTGCATACGCTAAGATTTATACATTGGTTGGACATTTGCACACACTGATACATGCAAAATTGTGACGAATGCTCCCAATAATTCGTACATTAATTGTGCATATTTTCTGTTCGCAGTCCAACTACGTTGGTATCATCTGTGTCAACCTACAGTTGAAGAAGGTGATTGAGAACTGGGCAGATTTCGCCACGTAAGTCTACGTTAGGCAGGATTATGGGACTGATGACATTTTTATAGTTATAGTCTTCTTATAGGCCTCTTGCATGCAGTAAAGGCAACTTACGGTCATGAACCACGATGTTTTTAGATTTAATCGGTTTTTACGCACATTGACACAAATACGCCCCAATTTGATGGGATTTTACGTGCGTTCACTTTAGGACGGTCATAGCAGGGGGGGGGGGCTCGTGTGGATTTGGCACATGTTGGCACAGCCGTATGTGTGTCTTTATATGTTTGGTGGGATTTTACAGCACAATCTATACGTACAGCGACAGCTGCTGTTGTGCAGGTTTGAGAAGCATCGCCTGCTACGATGGTGTAAATAAGTAAATATTACTGTGTGCATCCGTGAGATAGCAGCAGCTTAACCTTGAGAATCGATTCAGCTGACGTGAAGGGCATCGTGATGTGCATGCTTCATCGTGGGGGCAATGCCACTGAAGTTGCAGCTGTGGGTTAGGGTGGTCAGGGTTTAAGTGTGCGTGCGTGTGTGTTGTATGTGCGTGCGCGCGTGTAAATTCACGCTTCATGGAGGTCGTATGTTGAGAGGGTAGCGATTAGTTGCTCTAAATATTGAAAATCCTTCTGTGGTGTTTTACTTGCTTTCGTTGAGTATTTTGTTATAACTTACAGTTTTAACTAGACGGTGCCATTTTACGAAAATACACGGAAAAAGAAGCACAGCACAGAATCCTCACTGTGTACACTCCTAATACTGGTTATTTGGCAATATAATATATATATATATATATATATATATATATATATATATATATATTCGGAGTAAATAATCACAAATTGATTATGTCACAATTGAATTGTACAATATTAAATATCAACACGCATTACAATATCATAATACACCCTACAATATCCCCCACACAGACATACCCAATTGAATCACAATACACATATTCAATATCACAATTGATTATTGAATTCGTTTTAGTGCATGCACCTTAAATTTATGTTAACAACATTGAACTTGCAGCTTGTGGCTTTTCTGCCAAATGCTAGAAGCATTGACTACATCACGAATTGTCTATGGTGTATATTTGTAAAAACTTTGTTGCCATTTTTTTTACATTAAAAGTAAGTACTAATGGCACTAAATGTATCCTCAAATTCTTACCTGATAAAATTGTTTCTCAACTAGTTAAAAATCCAAAAAACCTGGACGATTTGATATTATAATCCTGACATTAATTGCTTGCTATGGGCTATGTATGAGTCACGAGTGTATGTTTACATCAAACAATATAGTAAAATAGGAAGTATAATGCGGCAATTTAACCATGAAAAGTTAACAGAATTACTTACATTTTGTGAATAAGTGGAAATATTTTTTTTACTTTTACTATTTATGGTGACGTAATCACTTTAAGCATCGTGAAACGCTGACGTGTGAGTCTACTTATCACGTGCATTTCTTTGTTGCACAGCAAGGTCTGTGAACATCGTTATGGAAGGGCACCGGCTATCAACCTGAATGGACACTCGGGTGCGACCTTCCCCTACATCGAGCAGCCCCTTCACTACATCCTGCCGGAGATACTGAAGAATGCCATGAGGTTACTACATTACACACGTGGTCACGTGCCGTGAAAGTCCGACAAAGCTTTCAGAGGAAACTGGGACAGGGAATGTCATGTCGCACTGTTTCGTGTCGCCTTTTTCCCCGAACGTAGATATGATCCGGAGTGGCTAATAGAGAATATTGTGCACTCCTATCTATTATTCACTCCTGATATGATCATGCTCTGTCAGACTCACTTTCGTTTACACACAGTAGCTAAGGTTCATAAATTACAGCGCTTTTTTTCGGAAGTTTTGTGCGCGAAAAGTGACTACTGGCAATACGAAATAAATTGCCGAAATAGTTTTCCCTACTGTTTCGGGCCACTCGATATGTTTTTGCGAGAGAAAAAAGGTGTTTACGTGTGCTGTTCGCATTTTATGCTCTCAAACAGATCTGCGGAGTAGCAAGTATGTTTGATGCTTGTAACATGATAACGAATGATAAGCAACAACACTGATAATATTATGATTTTAAGTTTACACACCTATCACACTTTTATTTCTGTCCGTTTTTTCAAGTCGCTGTCAGTGTGACCCACACAGTTTAATGAACTCAGTACATCAATTATACAGTTGTTAAAATTCTTTGTCTGTGTATTCTTTGTCAGTCGGCTGACTACTAGTGGGGTACATGGCCCAACGTGGAAAATTCTGCCTCGATTAGGCAGTTCGTTAGTGTAACAATAATTATTGTAGAACATGTGACTACATGTGTTGTCACATCTGTATTTTTAGAGCAACCGTAGAAAAGAACGCTGACGCAAGCACGTTGCCCCCGGTTACTGTCACTATTGCCAGCAATGACGTTGACTTCATCATCAGGTATGACCATTCTGAAGACGTCTTGTCATCTTACTATGTAACGGAGCAAGTTTTTTCGCCGATATTGGTCTTTGCGGTTCATTAAAAAACTGGACAATAACAGACGTGGGCCGGTAGACATGTTTGTCTGCACGTCTGCCCACCGCCGCGTCCATCCCTCGCTCTTCCGCTCACTCGTGCAGAGAGGGCTGAGTCCTAAGGGTGGCATGGTGCGAGCAGCTCTTGATACAATCTGTATCAAGATAAACCTTTAATGATACGATACGTATCGCAATACTTTCAAGAAAAATGACCTAGCAAACTGTCACGAGAGCTCTTAGAAATTAGTATCGTGAATTGCTTAGTAAACATCTGCCATCAAACTGCGAACTGTGTCCAGTGTCTATTGTTTTTCGATGAAGCTACGCTACGTGACGATATCAATAGCTAGTAATAGCTAAGGTATTATTAGCTCTTGACGATATGTGGGTTTCATTCAGTAGAGTACCGACACGTGTATCGTGAATGGTAAAGTGTATCGATACGTAGCGTCAAGGTCTGTGTCACGATATATCGATGAATTGTCTCACCCCTACAACCGTCATCACCCCGACAACCCTATAAACATCATTTTAACTACTCAACACTCACTTTACTAGTACAGAGAGAATATGCTGACGTTTTTTTTTTGTGTATAATTTTTCTTCATGTTGTATAGCGCTCTTTTGTACTGCATCACTCAGAAATTTTATCATTTTAACTACTCAACACTATTGCATTTATCAGATTTTTTCTCCATGAAAAAAACTGTCGTCAGTACATGTATTTGTATCTGAATTACCTGCAATAAAGATTTAATAATAAGAATAAAACCGACCTGATCAGCCGTGCGCTGTTTTCGCAGGGTTTCTGATAGAGGCGGTGGAATTCCCCATCAGTTTGTCGAGCGGATATTCGACTATCACTTCACGACGGCCGGCGTGCAAGAGGAGAATGATGACAACTACGATGTGTTTGGTGCCATGGTGGAGATGTCAAACCCCAGCCCTGGCTCCGGGCCCATGCATGGGTAGGTGGGACGATGCCGGCACGATCGTGTGTCGAGAAGGAACGTTGTTGGCCTGCACTCCCATTGTTTTCTTCGTCGTTGTTGTATTCTCTCTCTTTTATTTTCTCTTGTTTCTTCTTTTTCTTCTTTTTGTTTTTCTTCTTACTCTGCTTTATCATCATGTTCTTCTTCTTCTTCACCATCATGTTCTTCTTCTTCTTCTTCTTCCTCTTCTTCTTTGTCTTCTTCTTCTTCTTCTTTTTCTTCCTTTTCTCATTCTCTTCCTTCGTCTTCTTCCGTTTAATGCAGGATTGTATATAGCAGCATTATGCATCTTTCCATGAAAAAAGAGACAATTCCCCTTCAGCAGCAACAGCAGCAAAACGGCAAGATTAGGGTTAAAGTTTTGCACCAGGAAGTCATAACCCCCACATAGTTGCTTTTCTGCATGAGTAATATAATGTTGACTTACCTTAAGTTAAGTATATACTTATGTGTATGTACATTATCTTATGTGTATGTATATTATCTTATGTGTATGTACCTGATCTTATGTGTATGTACCTTAATTATGTGTATGTATGTACATTATCTTATGTGTATGTATCTTAATTATGTGTTTGTATGTACATTATCTTATGTGTATGTACCTTAATTATGTGTATGTATGTACATTATCTTATGTGTATGTATCTTAATTATGTGTTTGTATGTACACTTACTTATGTGTAGTACGCTTAATTATGTGTATGTACATTATCTTATGTGGTATTACCTTAATTAATGTGTATGCATATAATTATCTTATGTTTATGTACCTAATTCGTGTTTTGATGTACATTATCTATGTGTATGTTACCTTCATACGGTATGTACATTATCTTATGTGTATGTATGCTAATTATGTGTTTGTATGTACATTATCTTATGTGTATGTACCTTAATTATGTGTATGTATGTACATTATCTTATGTGTATGGATCTTAATTATGTGTTTGTATGTACATTATCTTATGTGTATGTTACCTGACCCACACCGGCAAAGTGGTACAGAGTTTGTACGGGATCGTATCGGTAAGCACTAATTACTAAGTATTATTAATTAAGTACTTATAGTGAGTGCTAATTGACCGCCCGCTCTCTCGCTCTCTACCCTGCTGCAGGTTCGGCTTTGGTCTGCCTACATCGCGGGCCTACGCTGAGTACCTCGGAGGCTCCCTGAAGGTGGAGGCGATGCAGGGTATCGGCACGGACGTCTACCTGCGCCTGCGTCACATCGAGGGCAAGCACGAGAGCTTCAGGATCTGAGCAGACGACCGTCGCCGTGGTTACGAATGCGGGCGCCGGCCGCCGCGCCTTTTCGCAGAGCCGGGAGTCGGGAATCGCCCCGGTTGCGCGACGTAGAGCGGCGTTGCTGGGAGCGGGCCGACGACGCGTCTGTCGTTATATTAACGTGCGAGACGTGCGGTCAGTGGCGTGGTCACGTTGCTGCGGCCGGTCAAACCACCTAGGAAGTGGGAGAGTCGCGGGCACGACACGTCACGTGGTAGCGTGTCCTGGCTGTGGACGCTGCCATTATATTGCCCTGCCTGTAAATCCCACGGTGCTGCCGCGCGATTAGGTGCTTCTCTCTCTCCGAATATGATTTTTCTATTTTTTTGTCGTTTTTTTTAGCGATGCCGTCACGTACTTTTGCGTTTCTGTCGATCTGAGAGCTGCTAAGAGGTTGTGGTTATGGTTTTTTTTAGTCCGTTGTACTTTTATCTCAAAACTTCTGAGTCACGCCATGCGGTGGCCGCTATATTGTCAAGTGTCTATATGTATGTTGGGTTGCTACCTTTAATAAGACTTCTAGAACAGATCTTATAAGCGAATCTCATCATTCTTCGTGGAAATATAATATAGTCGGACCGAGATCGGTCGTTGTGAGGTGTAGGCTCAGATATGGCGACTTCACGGTAGCAGCGGCTAGGCCTACATGGTAACTGCCGTGGCACTGAACATATGATTGATGCGTATTTAAGGTGCGAACGAGCGTAGTTCTACGTGTTAGTTTAGTGTTAGTGTTATGTAATGTGTTTTTTTTTTTGCGTCTATGCGGATTATATAGCAGATTGTATAGTTTTGTAGTTATAGACATAGAGATCTGGCTGCATACGTGTATGCATAGCAGCGAGCGGCGGGGGGGGGGGGGGGGACATTATGCAACACTCGGCATACTTCGGCTAATTCCGTAGCTCCATCAAGCTTCCGTCGTATTACGCAGGTTGCGATTACTGCCGGCTCTACTTGAGCTTGTCACAGCCAGGGCGAAGTAATAGCGTGAGAAATGACTACGCTAGGCAAAAACCGTTGAAATTGTCAATAGTATTGTTCAGTTTTGTCTAACTTGCAGAGACCGTGTCAAATGATGGCGCTGCTAAAGCGTAAATTAGTTTTATATCTGTAATGCGATCAAATTCCAGCGGGTCAGAAAATGAATTGGCGTACGTAGGCGCATCTCTCTCTCTCTCTCTCTCTCTCTCTCTCTCTCTCCTCTCCTGCTCTCTCCTCTCTCTACTCAGTCTCTCTCTCTTCTGTCTCTCTCTTCTCTCTCTCTCTCTCTCACTCTCTCTCGCTCTCTCTCTCTCTCTCTCTCCTCTCCTCTCTCTCTCTCTCTGCTCTCTCCTTCGCTCTCCGATCTCGCCTGCATCTCTCTCTCACTCTCATCACTCTCTAACTCTCTCTCTCTCTCTCTCTCTCGCTCTCTCTCTCTCTCTCTTCTCTCTCTTCTCTCCTCCCTCTCGCTCTCTCTCTTGCTCTCTCTGCTCACTCTCTCTGCTCCGCTCTCTCTCTCCTCTCTCTCTCTCTCGTCCTCTCTCTCTCTCTCGCTCTCTCTCGCTTGCTCTCCTCTCGCTTGCTCTCTCCTCTCGCTCTCTCTCTCTCTTCTCTCTCTCTCTCTCTCTCTTCCCATTCGACGCAGCCGCGACGAATACGGAGAGTAACGGATTCGCCCGAGATTTGCCGAAATGCTTACGCGCCGTCCTGCTCCTTCGCGCGTCTTTCTTTCTGTTTATTTACGGGGACAGGTTTCCTGCCGATGCTCTGCAGTATGGTGACTGACCCAGATGCTATCATATCACCGCAGCTGCTCACACCGCGGGCTATCGGAGAAAAGAACCAGAGTTAGTGATGACCACTGCCCAGCCTTTAGTGACGTGCGAATGTATGACCATTCGGGCCACCATACTGTAGAGAAGTGGGTCTATGCATTGGCTTTCGTTGTGGCCCACCCAGCGTTACGAACAGCTATATCAATCACATTGGCACTTTAGTAGCGTTCAATTAATAATATATATATAATATATATATATATATAAATATATATATATATTTATATATGACATATATAATATATGCATGGATATATGTTCTGTGTTTCGTCTTTGATCTGCGTTAAACATAGAGGTTGCTTTTATCTCATATTAAAGTCGGATGTTACTTCGGATTAATAAGGAGATAAGATTATCGCTCGCATATTTTACTCCAAATCGTACACGAATCTCTCTATTCATTTTTAAGATGCTTGCGATGCTTCGCTTGATATTATGCTGCCCAGTGTTCAACAAGGCCCTATGCGTATCGTGGATGTTTTGCACGTTAAAGAATACTGCACCAGCCCACGAGGTGTGTAATACTGCCCGCGTACTTTATGCCAGTCGCTGCGTGCGTGCCGTGCCGTGGTGCGTGGTGTGTGTTGTGTGTGTGTGTGGTGTGTTGTGTGTGATGTGTGTGTGTGTGTGGTGTGTGTGTCTGCGTAAGTGTGTGTGTGTGTGTGTGTGTGTACGTGCGTGCGTGCGTGCGTGCGTGCGTTATGAAACTCCTGGTGTGAACACATCAGTGACAGTGAAAATACTGCCAACGCACTGTGATCGCGATTTTCCATTCCACATATCGCCCCCCATTAAATCTCAAATAACGCACGAAACGGGCATTTGCCCGCGTAAATTCATCAACATAATGGGATAATGTAAGTTACGTATATCCGGAAGGTTGAATTGTATTTATTTGATCTCGGTTGTTCCGACAAGTTTGCTTAGAAATAATTTATGTGCGGTGTTTGAATGGCGTGTATACACTGTATAGTATGCGTGCGCGATCAGTGAGTTTTCGCAGTAGGCGCGTTCTGTGTTTGTAGTTAGACGTTTAGGCGGGAATGACTGTTCTAGGTTGTCGACGATATCAGAACGAGTTACACATGTGTCATCTTTTTTCATTTAGGAGAGAAAAGAAGAACCTAATAAATGCTTTCATCTGAAAAATGCCGCTTTTATTGTTCCATTCTATCGTTTTTTTCTCGCATTTTCGAATTACTTCATATTTCTTATTATTTCATGTAGGTCTACTTATTACGACCACTCTCCTTCTTGCAACCTGTAAGCCTGCCTTCACCAGTAGGCCTATATGGCGACATTTGCAAGGAGAAGGACGCGATCGCATAAAGTAGGTGTTTCTTTACCCTACATGCTAGGGCACTCTCCTTATTATAAACAGAGGTCTACTGATAAACGTTCTTTAGGAAAATCTATGCTGAGATACCCCCTAACCATTTTAAATGCATACTCATCACAAAATATAACTCCCCTGGTGAGATATTTCGCATGCGCTAACACACATACGTAGCCAGATTGTGTACTGGCTGGTATACGCAGAGAGGAGCTGACATGCAAGGTCTTCCTCTTATTTCTTAGATGATGTCTCCAGAAGAAATGTTATTATATAAATCTATGCTAGGATAACTCCTCTTCCTTTTAAATGCATAATCTTTGCAAAATACGATTTCTCTCGGGAGATATTTAATTACGCATGCGCGCGCATCGTGTTAGGCGTGTAGTGCCGTCTGAGGAACACTTCATAATATAGCTTGCTAAGGGGGAGAGGGGATGGGAGACTGAGGAAAGGTAGCAAGAAAAATAGCTGGAGGCGGTAGAAGAAAAAGGAGGCTGTGCGAGGGACAGGGGTGGCAAGTAAGGGGAAAGGGGAAGGACGCGAGGGTATAAAGTATATGTTTTGTACCCTACATGCTAGGGCGCTCCCCTAATTATAAACACAGGTCTACTGATAAAAGTTTATTACGGAAATCAATGCTGAGATACCCCCTAACCATTTTAAATGCATATTCATCACAAAATATAACTCCTCTAGTGAGATATTTCGCATGCGCTAACACACTAACTTAGCCAGATTGTGTACTGGCTGGTATACGCAGAGGGGAGCTGACATGCAAGGTCTTCCTCTTATTTCTTAAATGATTTCTACTGATGGAATGTTATCACATAAACCTATGCTAGGATAACTCCTCTTCATTTTAAATGCATAATCTTTGCAAAATATAACTCCTCTAGTGAGATATTGCGTATGCGCTAACACACTAACTTAGCCAGATTGTGTACTGGCTGGTATACGCAGCGGGGACTCTACATGCAAGGCCTTCCTCCTCTTTCTTAAATGATGTCTACTGATAAAATGTTATTACGGAAATCTATGCTGAGATACCACCTAACCATTTTAAATGCATATTCATCACAAAATATAACTTCTCTAGTGAGATATTACGCATGCGCTAACACACTAACGTAGCCAGATTGTGTACTGGCTGGTATACGCAACGGGGACTCTACATGCAAGGCCTTCCTCCTCTTTCTTAAATGATGCCTACTGATAGAATGTTATTATATAAATCTATGCTAGGATAACTCCTCTTCCT